TCTTACTCATAAATAATAATTATATATATTGTATTTTTTAAAAATGATTCTATACGTTTTTTTATTTTTTCAGGATAAAAAAATTAAAAAGATTTTTTTTCTAAGATTATTCAAAAGTGAAAAAAATAAAATTTTATTTTCTTCGCAAAATTAGTTCACTTATGAAAAACAGAAATTTACAGGAAAGTGATCTTCCAAATAAGCGTCAGCAGCATTAGTAGAATTCATCGACTGAGAAATGTCTTCATCATCAACTTCCATTAAATCATCAACTTGAATTTCAGTGTAGGTGTATTTGTTGTCATTTTCTGTAGTTTCTCTCTCACTGCTGATGGCATCTTCCGGATGGATTAATTTTTCTTCCATAGTAGAGTTTTCTGCCTGTAAAAGAATTTTTTAACTTATTAGTTACTAATTTTCCATATTATAAAATTTTAAGATATTTATTTATGAATAAAATAAATTTAATTTTAAAAAAATTATTTGATTATAATCTAATAAAATTATTAAAATAATAATCGTGACTTACATATTCTTTCAAAAGCTTCAGATACCTATATTTCGATGACACAGGAACAGGATTGTGCGATTCGGGTTGTAAATACCTTTTGTAAGTTCTGCGCTCTTCTGCAGTCATCCTAGATTACAGTTCAATTTTTATTAATGAAAAAACCTATACGACACTTTCTGTATGTTTTTATGTATATATAAGCATTTCTATTTTTTGTATATTTATACTTACGTGAATTGGCTATATTTTTAAAAAACTATTTACACTCAAATTAAAAAATCAAACTTTCGATAAATTCTCTTTTTTAAATCGTTATGACAACGCGATTCAATTGTTAACACGAAGTAGATAAATTCATTTTATTTGTCGGAAAAAAAGGTTTACGCAACTTAAATAATTCTTCGATAAAAAGTTAAAAATGTCAGCTCAAATAAAAGTGGCATACGTATTATTTAAAAATAGAACTAAAAAAGTCGTGCCGATAAAGTCCATTATAAATTATAAAGAAGTCATCTCTAAAAAAATAAAGAAGTGTAAAGTATGGTTTTACGGACATAAGGAAAAAAGTGACATGCTTTTAAATGCATATATTCTCCTTTTGGGAAGTAAGTATATATATTTGTTTTTTAATACTGAAAAAATTGCATAATATAATTAAAGTGATTTGTAAGAAAACCTTTTTTAATATTTCAAATACTAATTAATTAGTAATTTACGAATTATATTGTTTTAAATAGCTAGTGCAGATGACATTCGCAAACAAAATGATGTTAAACGTCTTCGCTATCCTGCAAATCTAAGTTTTTCTTCAAACTCTGGATGTGGTTCAAGAAAAGTGTCCGAAAAAAGGGAAAAAGGTAAAAATACACATTTTAAAAATTACTTTATTTAATTGTTAAATTTGTAAAGCATCCTCTAAATTAAGAAATAATTAAATAATATTAATTTAAAATAAAAATTTATAAATAAAAAAAATAATATCAAATCTTTTTGATAATAATTTTCATTTCAAAAATTGTAGAAACAAAAGCAAACCAATTTATCAGAACGAATTGCAAGAGAACGAGAGAATCAAAATATTATTGATGATCATGCAGAATTATTAATGAATTCTAGAGAAACAATAGCATCGGACGAGGATGACACAAATAATTCTGGTAAATTTTTTAATAATATATTTTGTAAATAACATTAAATAACAAAAAAATATTTTAACCTTCCAATTTTTAGCATATAATTCTTTGAATATCTTTAATTAGGAACATCTGCGGAATCACGATCCCTTCAAAGAATGGAAACAGCTGATACTGTACCACTTTCAGACGATTCTCAAGATGATCTAGAATCATTATTGAACGGGAATGTTGCTGGACAATCATTGCCTGGAGGGAGAAACGATCTTCGAAATGGAAGAGATGATTCTCAAGAACAGAGAGACAATCTTCGCAACCAGAGAAACGATTTTCGAACCGGAAGAGAAGATCTTCAAGAAGAAAGAGACGATTCTCGAGACGATCAAGAATCATTATTGAACGGGAATGTTGCTGGACAATCATTACCTGGAGGGAGAAACGATCTTCGAAATGGAAGGGATGATTCTCAAGAACAGAGAAACAATCTTCGCAAACAGAGAAACGATTTTCGAACCGGAAGAGAAGATCTTCAAGAAGAAAGAGACGATTCTCGAGACGATCAAGAATCAGCAGACTTTGAAGACGATCGAGAATCAGTACCACCCGAAAGGGATAATCGAGCTTTATTGGCAAATGGCAGAAACAGTATGAATATTTATTTTAGTTATTTTATTTATTTTATTTATTTTATTTATTTTATTTATTTTATTTATTTTATTTTATTTATTTATTTTATTTATTTATTTTATTTATTTATTTATTTATTTATTTATTTATTTTATTTATTTTATTTATTTTATTTATTTTATTTATTTTATTTATTTTATTTATTTTATTTATTTTATTTATTTATTTA